TATTATAACCTTAAATTAAGGTATGCCCGCCATTTTGAATAATCAAATCCAGCCGGTGTCAGAAACTCATTTGTCGAGTTTGGCTATGACGCCAGTGCTTTCTCATTGGCTCACATCCAAGCCTTTTGTTCTTTCGCTTTATAAGAGCGACACCACCCGGATGGTTGGGCGGCCAGTTAACTCCACCGCAATATAAACATCTCTCTTACTCTGTCTTAAAAAAATCCCTCCTGGATATACAATCAAGTATTCTTCCTCAAGCATCCCCCTAAATATTCCCCCAATATCCTCTCACAGCCTGCATTTCATTAACCCCCTACATATACAGTGTACAGCCCACTTCTCATTAATCCCCTACATATACATACACAGCGCACATCTCATTAATCCTCCACATATACCTACACAGCCTACATCTCATTTCATTAATGCCTCATATATACCTACACAGCTTTCATCGTATTAATTCTCAACATATACCTACACGGCCTACATTTCATTAACCCCCAACATATACCTACACAGGATAAAAGTTCTCGGCCATTTCAATTTCAGGAGAAAGATAAAACAAACAGCGGTTACAAACATGACAAACAGGTTTCGCATGGTACATTAAACTTGACGTTTCGTATGCTACAACATACATATACCTACACAGCCTACAGCTCATTAAATCCCGCACATATACCTACACAGCCTACATCTCATTAATGCCCCAAATATACCTACACAGCCTACATCCCATTAATCTCTTACATATACCTACACAGCCTGCATCTCATTAATCCCCCACATATACTTACATAGCCTACATCTCATTAATCCGCCACATATACCTACACAGCCTACATCTTATTAATCCCCCACACATATCTACACAGCCTACATCTCATTAAACCCCCGCATATACCTATACAGCCAACATCTCATTAATCCCCCATACCAAAACGGGCTACATCTCATTAATCCCCCACATATAACCTACACAGCCTACCCAGACAGCACATACCGACTCCGAAGTAGAACAAACCGACTCTTATCCCGGCGGCGAACAGCATTGCGAAGTACATTGCGTCGCTGAAATCTGGTTTGTCATCTGGTTTGCTCAGTTTCATGCTGCCGTATTTCGAGAAATAAGGTAGATAAAAGGTAAAGTCTGCATATGAGCCAGTGGCCCACCAGGCCGGAGCTTATCCCGGTTTCCGTAGCATGAAGCGACTAGGAGTATTTCTACTCCCCCCTGGATGGGATACTAGTCCATCGCAGGGTTAACCCCAGCATTAAGTTCGCCGGTACCCATTTATACACCTGGGTGGAGAGGGGCACCGTGAGAGTAAAGTGTCTTGCGCAAGTACACAACACAATGTCCTCGGCCAGGGCTCGAACCTGAACCGCTCGATCCGGAGACGAGCGCACTAACCATGAGGCCACCGCGCCTCCCACATTTCGAGAAATAAAGCGCAATAATAAACACGGCCCAGGCGTATTGTGTACCAATGTACATCCAGGTACAGGTTTTGGTTATCCATGCCATCCAGCCAGTCATCTCTTCGTAAGCCACCTCGGAGTAAATCGAGCACCAAATTACAAAGAACCAAATAGTGGCGATCGAGAGGAAAGTTACAACAGGGTTGAATCGGAGATTGAGTGTAATTCTTCTCCATTTCAAACTGACGCGAAACCAGCGGCATTTTTGTGAAGCGTTTTCGTCAATCTCCATTTCTGTGCTGCGCGTTAGGTGCAAGGCGTTGCACTAAAGATCACGGTTCAGTTCGACGCGCGTCAATTTATTGCTGATTGATTTAGCAGTCCTCTTTAAATATTGGTTTTATGGGATGCGTTTATCCGCCCATTGGTCGTGATACGTTTGTCTTCTGTCTTTTTGACAGGGTTTCAATTTCATGGATGTGCGTGCACGCTAGTTAATTTACTGAACTGAGTAATTTTACTGGGCAACCCAGCAAGAGTTTATCAAGCTGTCTTGCGTATTTCGCACAAAAGAGCACCAAACTAGCTCCACTGCTTATTTTCAACTCAATATTGCTGCAAACGTGAAAAAAATTAGTCTGAGCAAATCTCTCTGGGAAACTTAGCATAGATTCAAGGTTCAAAATAAACCGCGCAGCGGCAAACGACCATGTAATTTTCTTTTTATTATATAAATTGCTCACAATGCATAGGGACATTTTTGGCGATTTTCCGAGATTTCCGACCGCTTTCCGAAGATTTCCGAAGATTCCCCAAAATTACTCTGAAGTCCAGACGAACGCTTCCGAACATTTTCCGAAGTTTGCCAAAGACTTCCGGAGAAGATCCGAAGATGTTTCGATCATACACCAACAAATTTAGGTGCAGTTGAGGGGACAAAAAATGTTATCAAAAATGATAGAACAGATCGCCCCATTCGAGAATTTCTTTACCCAATCACAATCGCGAAACGACTTTCTCACGCTTGGGAAAAGGGTTTCATTTAATCAGAAATCAGCTGTCAAAATGAATCAGTTAGTTCGCAACGCGTTCACGTTGTTGTTGGGGCCTCTTCAATCTTCATGAAAAGTGCTTCAGCATGGAAAGTGCTTTGCACGGTATTTACATTGTTTTTGTATTTTCTTTTGTAATGGCAAATTTTCATTTTTCTAACTTGACACATCGACTCGTTGACTCGTTTACTCATTGACTCATCGACCATCTGACTCCTTCGTCTCATTTGATACTTTAAGCATAGACATAGACATAGACATACTTTATTTAACGTGGACAAGTACACACTTAGTTGTTCGCTAGTTTCCAGGTGTTCCACGATTTAAATTAAATAATGTACAACATTATAAAAGCGTTAAAAAAAAGGTATTTACATCAAGCTAATTTAAAAGTCATTGAAGTGAAGTGAAGTGAAGTGAAAGACTTTATTTAATGAGGGTGACCCGTGACAGTAACTTAACAGTAACTAAAAAAAAAAAAACAGTANAAAAAAAAAAAAAAAAAAACGAGCTAAAAGCGATAAAATATAATCAAAGTGTATTAAACGTGAAAATCAGTTTGCCGAATCTTTTTCAAAAAGTCTTTTGAGCTTGCCATGGAACGAATATCACGAGGTAGCATATTCCACTGCTTTGCTGCAGCATAAC